CAAAGTGTTCCAGAATCTGCAGTGTTCATTTACTAGAGGGTTACCATCTGTTATTGCCTGCCACCACCCCAGTTTGATAGAAAGAATGCAAGGGCTTTGCTGCTGGATTTCTGGTAGCATCTCACTGGAAAAGGAAATCAGCTTTAGAAAGCTGAGAGATTTCAGGAAGAAAACTGCTGATCTTCTACAGCAATTGTCAAATGCTCCCATGAATGTAACTATTCTGCTCCATTAAAGATACTAAAAAAAAGTCTAGGAAAATAAATGGGGAAGTAAAATTGTTTTATTTATTAGAAGAAGCTTGTAATTATTGTAGAACATCCATTATAACTGGCTCATTAATCATAAAATTATGCAGTACCAGGAAATTGCACATTATCGGAAAATTACAGAAAATATAATGTCTGAATCATTGCCATGAGATATTCTTTTGGAATCCAGTAAGGGAAGTAATGCTAGCAGATTGTTGGGTCTGAATTTTTAATTATTTAATTATTGGATTGGGTAAAAGACATTCATTATTAGATAGAAAACCACTTTCACAATGGAAATGTAATATACCACCATGTCAATAATGCTATTCCCTTAAAGAAAAGGGGAAGGGAAATGTCCAAGCTTAATGAATTGCAAGCTAGTGCCTACCAGATGTGAGGGACTAAAACTACTGTGTCACAAGTCCTTTTGGCCATGCAGCTACAAATTCTCAAAATTGTACCCTAACTTACCTTAAGTGTGTTAGCTTGGAGAGAGGCTACATTACATGGCCTACTAGAATTCAGTTTTCATTTAAGGGTTAATTCTAGGAGAGCCATTACCGGCCAAGCTTAAAATGGGTTTATTATAATTCTTTTTTTTTTTTTTTTGTCATTTAAGCATATAGGAAAATCATGCATGTATCTCTCTGTGTGAATGTGTATGGGTGGAGGCATGCATGCATGGAAGGATAGTCAGATAGATGGATAGATACACACACAGAGAGAGGGAGAGAGAGTATTGAGGGAGGTTGTTCATTTTTGTTTTAAGTTTACCTGTTATTTATATATCCAAAAATAGCACAATGTTTAAAAGGATAAAAATTTTATTTTTCTAAAATATACCATTTCAACTAATACAAATTATTGTATTTATTTATTTGTCCAACTTATATAGCTGCCCATCTCACCAAACAACTTTATTTAACATTCATATTGAAAGGCCTTAAGAAAGTGAAAACTGCAGAAATATCCATTGTTTAATCTAGGTTTCTTCTGACATCAGAAACCAATGAATATAAAATATAATGACATTTAAGAATAAAATAGTTACTCACTTAAAATAGAATGATTGCTGGTTTTGACAGTAAAAAAAAAACTTGCAATTTTTTTATTACTTTTATCTGGTTTTGCCTTTTTCTTTTGTTCTTATAAATTTTAATTTTAACCAAAAAGATACAGGAAAATATTTGTAGTTCAGGGATGAAATGAGCAGTCCTTGGTGCTCTATGAGCTTGGTTGTTTTCTTGCAGATGTTTCATTACCCAAGCTAGGTAAAATCATTAGTGCTAGCAGGGAGTGGTATTTGCTCTCAGTTTATATTCTAGTGGGTGTTGACTGCTAGCAGGGAACTTTTTTGATCGTTATTTTCCCTTTTTGACTTGTTGATTGCCTCCTTTGAATAGTATATAAATGTTGTTTATGTCTATGTGCCTATTGGTGGCTTATTTGTCAGAGAACCTGGCTTCCAGGAATTCTCTAGCAGTTTGGATTTGGTACGGTCTAGGATGGTTACAGTTTTCCAGTTGAACTAGGAAACAACTGGGAAACTGACCATCCAAGATGAGCAGAGATTAACACCAAGATTAACATCAAACCAAGAATCAAGAAGTAAACAATACCCCAATCAAGGAACTTCCAAATAAGCTAAAAGTAAACAGCCCAACCAAAGATCTTCCAAGACCACTCCCACCAACACTGATAGGGCAATTCACTAGAATGCAAATGGGGAGCAAACTCCATTCCCTGCTAGTATTGATAATGTTACCTAGTTTTTATAATGAAACATCTGCAAGAAAACAACCAAGCTCAGTGAGCACCAAGGACCCCTCATTAATGAAAAAAAAATTTTTTAAAAAAATCCAGCTGCTTATAATATGTCAGTGATTATCATTGTGGTTCATATAAGATTCTTAATGCTATAACCACAATCTATTTAATTATCCTTATTTTTCATATTTAATTTTCTAAAATGCATTTAAGCCTCTTAAGATCCTGGTTGCCAGTGATGGCAAGATAATGTTTGATGGGCCACAAGTTGCCCCAATCACCCCATTTATGATAGCTAGAGTGCCAAATCATTCTGTAGCCACAGCAGAAATATGGGTGATTTTCAGCATTGCAATTTGGTTCCCTCTCAAAACTTTAAGGGTATTAAAATTAAGAAGATTTTCTGGGAAGAAAAACTCTCCAATCTCTGCCTTTAAAATCCCCATTCACATTTATTTATGCATAAAAGGCCATCAATGACATTTGAAAGTTTTGCTGTAGAATTTCAACAGTATGATTTGAACCATTTGAACAAAAATCAGTACATTTTTTTCCTGATGTCACAGCTTTTCATATTTAATATATTTTTAATCTCAGATCAAATGGTTGCTTCATATCCAAAATGTATTTTCAAATTCCACACTCTGGTTTTCATTTATTTCTAAGACATATGGCACATTTTCATAGAGACCACGCTTAGCATAATATACTTTTAATATAAACCTTCTATTTCTATTTTATTAGAAAGTAACATATAACCCTGTATTTTATTGATATTCTTTCCATATAAGATATTGTTAAGAGACTTTAATCATGGCATTTCCAGATTTAATATAGAAGAATTAGGATTCAGTACCTTAATAATCAATCTTATACAGTTTGTGACACAAACTCAAAATTGTTACACTATCATCCCACTCCTACCTTTCTATAGTTATAGACATTAGATCTGAAATACTCCACTTCGGCTTAGCTTAGTTATTTCACAATATGCTATTTTATTTTTAACTACACAGACACACACACACACACACACACACACAGACACACACACACATCTCAGGTAGTTGTAAATTCTTATCTCTGTAAAAACAATTTCAGATAGTCCTCGACTTAAACCTGGTTGTTTAACCACCACTTAAAATTACAAAAGTCTGAGAAAGGATGTTTTACAGACAAAAATCACTTCTGATTGTCGTAGTGTCTCTATTTCTGTATTCCACCGAAGTCATTCCTTTCCACAAGAAGGAGAGCTAACTTTCTTCATCAGGCAGCTCTTTCAGCCAGCCTCTAGAGATGAAAGGGAGCCAAAATCCAAGAAGGGAGTGGACAGCATATAAGAGTAACCCGTTACCTCATGGTGAGATGGGCAGTAAAGAAATTTAAATACATACATACATACATACATACATACAAGGTTGTTAAGTGGACAGAGTATCAGGTAAGGGCCTCAGGTGAATGGGAGAGGCTCTAGAAGGCCCAGTGTAGGCCACGTGCAAATGTCTCTGCCTCAGTGTCTGAAAATTCTGCTAGAATTTCGGTAGGGATTTTCAGCTCCTGATCGGAAGCTCCCAGGTTCTTCCACCCAGAGTAACCTGTGCTCCTTACCTGAGATTCTACCCACTTAATTCCAGATGTTGAGAGAAGCAGTCATTTGGGTAAACCATGTCTCAACTCTTTGCCCAACAACTGAGATTTCGATCCTAGTAGTGGTTGTAAGTCAAGAGCTTACTGATACTCTCAACCTGTATAGTAAATCTCAGCTGTATATTGCAAAGTCACAGTGCTTATTTTATTATAATCGTATTTCCTGTGTGACTGGAAGTCAGTTTGGCAAATATTTATCTTTTTGAGAGAGATACAGATACAGAAGCCTTAAACTCTGAGAGGAAGAGTTAAACTCTGAGAGGAATACAATAATGTATTGGCATTGGCTTCCAAATGAATCCCATCCACATGTGGTTCACTTAAAAGATGCTTCCCGGAGCGTTTCAAACATAATTTACTTTTCACTATCTAATGGACCTCCATCCATCTCTCAAACGTTGACAAACATGGCCTTAGAAAGCTTCATACACATCAGAGAATCTCTGCCCTACTCTTCACAGATGGAGAGCTCAAACTGCAGTTAAAGTAGTCCTGTTTAAACAATGTCTTGTGATATATGTCTTACAATCTTAGTTCAGATATTCTGTATGTAATATACAGAAAATGCTAAAATAAAGTTTAATTAATGAGTGGCCTAATGGTTAAGGCTCCAGGCTGGAAATCAGGAGGCCATGAGTTCTGCTTTAGGCATGAAAGTTAGCTGAGAGCCTTTGGGTCAGCCATTCTCTCACAGCCCAAGTCCCCTCACATGGTATTATTTTGGGGAAAATAGGAGAAAGGAGTTATTAAATATTAATAACTAAATAGCCTTGAGCTATTTTAAAAATAATAAAAGATAGGATTAAAAATAAATGACTTTAGAATAGGCATACACTGAAGACAATGATATGCCAGTTTCATAGATTTTTCCATTTCTGGAGAATTTTCATTTTTAACTTAATTACTACTCAATTAACTTTACTGAAAAAATGCAACTTTGACAAATCTGTATCACTAGTAGCTATCAGCTCTGCGTTGACTGTGTCCATTTATGAAAACACTGCTTGTTGGCTATATATAAACTTAATGAGAGAACATGCCTGCCTTTTGAAGTATACTTATTGTTTGATAACATCAGTATTTCAAAGATGTACTGTTATTTTTAAAATTATTACTATTTATTTATTTATTTTGCTCCAGCAAAAGTGTCTCTCTTTTGGTTCTGTTTCTTGTTGTGTTTCTCTCCTTTTCTCGTTGTCCCCCTATCTTTCTCTCTCTTTCTCGTGCTCTCGCTCTCTCTCTCTCTCTCTCTCTCTCTCTCTCTCTCTCTCTGAGGTTCACATATTGAATGATGTAAAGATACCATAACAAACTGTTTGGCATACCCTACAGGCAAAGGTCCAGAGACTCTTTTTGCTGGATATAACCTCAATGACAATGAATGGCATACAGTACGTGTAGTTCGAAGAGGAAAAAGTTTAAAGTTAATAGTAGATGACCAACAAGCCATGACAGGTATTAATGACTAATAACTATTCTCCTGATTTTCCATTCAATATGTATTTAGTTATGATTGCTCTGGTGGTGAAACTCATTCCGGTTCCATGGATATAGGCGGAAAGTACAATAAAGGACAATTTAGAAAAAACTCCATGTGAGGTATTAGGAGAGGACACTTCTGACAGATTGAAGCAAAGAGAAGGAAAACAAAATTAGGAACAAAAATGATATAAAGACAAATATAGAAGGCAGCCAAACTTCACACATTTGTTTGAAACAATACAACAATACATTTTGACCGCATTCTGAATAAGAATTGTAGTTGAGGGGGAAAAAAGTGATATTCTTTTTCCTATTCCAACATACCAATTTACTTTTCTCTACCATAATTATATCATCAAATCCAAGAACTGATATAAGTGGGAAGTGGTGGGCAGGAATCCAGAAAAGCAAAGACTGTGTTTCTCTAGCATTGTCTGTTATCTTACCCCTTTTAAATCATTCAAATGTCTCCAACTTTTACTGTATGCAAAAAGAGAGGCTAAGTTGAAGCAATTAAGCCAAGTCTTACTAAAAAGGTTTCAATTATATATATAGAGAGAGGCCAAAATAATAAAAGATACTTTCTTCAATAAAGGACACTTTGTCCAATATTCTTTATAAAGATAGATACAAATTATTCCATTCTAAAAAGTGGGGGGGAAATAGAGCTATTGTTTTTGTATTTTGTAATTAGCAGAGCTCCTAGAGGTACATGTAGACAAGCCTTCAAATATAAATTTGAATGTTCAAATAGAACATTCATAGAGATTTTCTTCTTGTTTACTGTATCTTGAGATTCCCCAAACCGTTTGGTTAAATTGATACATTTTTCCTTGATTTGATTGCTTAAATTAGGATGAGTTTGATGCTTAATTCATTTCACTTGTAAATTATGCAATTATGAGTTATTCTCAAATAACTCAGATGGTTGGATGTAATAAGAGAAAAGTACAAAACAAATGGGCCCTTCCAGCAGATATACTTTCTATGTGAAAATACACGTGGTAGAATCACATGGTCAGACCAGTTTGTGTAAGAAATTTCAGCATTCGAAATGGCCCTAGCTTTTTGGTTATAACACTAACTTCTCAAAATTGCTTTTTACTTAAAGGTCAAATGGCTGGGGATCATACAAGACTGGAATTCCATAATATAGAGACGGGAATCATAACGGAACGGCGTTACTTGTCCTCAGTCCCTTCCAACTTCATTGGTCATCTGCAAAGCCTCACTTTTAATGGCATGGCATACATTGACTTGTGTAAAAATGGGGATATTGACTACTGTGAACTAAATGCCCGTTTTGGCTTCCGGAACATCATTGCCGACCCAGTCACCTTTAAAACGAAAGCTAGCTATGTTGCTCTTGCCACATTGCAAGCATACACATCTATGCACCTGTTTTTCCAGTTCAAAACAACATCATTGGATGGGTTAATACTTTACAACAGTGGAGATGGCAATGACTTTATCGTGGTTGAATTAGTAAAAGGGTGTGTATGCAACCTGTTTTACAGATGTTATCAGCTCAGAAAGCTTAATTCATTAGGCAAGCTCTTGGATTCTACAACCTTTGTACTGATGCATCAGTGTCCTTAAAGATGAGCACTGTTTACCCTTCTAAGAAATACATATTTGGATGATGCTTCTCACACTGCAGTTTCAGATCCTTTTTCTCCACTGTAAACTTTTGGCTAAGAGAGCAGCTATCAAGACCCCTATGTATACTAGTATTTTTTTCTAACACTGGTTGAGCCTTCACAGGCTCAAGTTAACAGCTGCCCTCAGTGGGAATTAAAACAATATTCAAGACAACATTTAAGAAGCATTAAATTATTATTGATATATTTAAATAAACAAAGAATAGAAATGTGTCCTCCACAAGGAGGATCATGTTAGATACTATAAAAGGGAAATATAGCAGAGAGATCAACCTTTAACAGTAAGTGGACCTCTGATAAAATCTACCTGCTTGTTAAAGTGGAGCCTTCCCCAGTATTGTTTTTGCTAAAAGCCATGTTCTATGAAAATTAACCTGGCTTCTCACTATTCTGGATCTGAAAAAAAAAAAAATCAAAAACATTTTAATGAAGCTAGCTCTGGATGGGAAGGGAGCTTCCAGAAAAAATGTAATCATTAATTTTACACATTTTCACCCTGCAGCATTTATTTTGTCACTTATGTGAAATATTTTCATCTTTCTTTTCCGTTGAAAAAGCAGGCAAAATCTGTTTCTGTTCCTGTTACACCACTAGTTCCTCAGCTGGAACTTACTTGCCAGTGGCAACAGAAAATGACCTTTCTGTGTTTCCAACTGTCCAGAGCTTAGCGTTACTCAAAGGCATTATTGGAAACCAGAATAGTTCATGACCATTCTGTACTGGAACTGTGATGTGAGTTTAACTGGTTAAATTATAATAATAATGACCATCATCATCATCCCACTGGTCCTGTTGGTAGGTAAGCCTATGGCTGGAAGTTCCACACTGATATAAATGTTAGTAGGCTTTGTCTAAAAACTAGAGCCCCAGGATCTTTTCCAGATCTTCTGTCTGGAGTAATTACCTTGCAATAAAAAAGTACATGTCATGAAATCCTATGAGGAACTCTATTGGCAAAATCTATGAGGTCCAACATCTTTCTATGCCAAGAGAGAAGTTATTTATTTGAAAACTGATTTAGCTTAGTTACTGTAAATATTTAAATATATAGTAGCTACATATCTTCTGAGGGAATTATCATTCTTTGGAATGAGTTGTAATTTTAATCAAGAAATGTAATTTCTCTTTTGAGAAATACAAAACATTTACTGGGGAGATCTACAAAAAATTAATAGTTTAGAATAAAGCAGTAACGTGCTGCATTGTATTCAGATTTTTTTTTTTTTTTTTTTTGCACATATCCTTTTTAAAATATGGTGCCAATATACATACTGAGACTTTTAGGCGGAACTAAGTGGTGAAAGGAAATAAATCCAAAATAATCTCAATTTGTTTATATAGCTTTGATAGGGATAGGGTAAGTTTGCCAGAGAAAAAGTAAAATTTACAAGTCATAAAAAGGGTGTAAAAATGAAAAGTAACTTCAAGAGATTTCAGATGAATTAATACTGCTATTTTAACTCCATACTTGATGAATAAAAGATTTAGTGGGCTAAGGCAGGGGAAAGAAGCAGAAGTCAATGTTATAATTTCCTTCAGCTATACCTTTAATAGATGGCATATTAAGGAGGCAATTTTGCTCAATATTCTCAGAAGAATTTGATACTTTTTTCTTTTAATTCTCTCAACATTCTTGACTTAGACATTTTGATCTATCCCAAGTTAGTCTTGTTAAATGTAAGAGGAGTTGTCTAAGAACTTTATGAATTGCCAAAGAAAAGAAGCAGTGAAGATTGTAATTTTCATCTACCTACTCAGTTTAGCTGTTTTTCCTTTTCATTTACAGATATTTACATTATGTGTTTGATTTGGGAAATGGTGCAAATCTTATCAAGGGCAGTTCCAATAAACCTCTGAATGACAACCAATGGCACAATGTGATGATATCACGGGATACCAATAATCTCCATACTGTAAAAATTGACACAAAAATCACAACGCAGAGCACAGCAGGAGCAAGAAACTTGGATCTCAAAAGTAAGTGACAGTGACAGAAATAATAAAAGGGCTAGAAGAACAGAGTGTATCATTATATTATGTTTTTTTTTATTTCTGTAACAGAAATATTGGAAAAATATAGGATGCTGGTTTAAAACGAGTGAGAGTATTAGTTTAGCCAGTCAACATTGGCAACATAAACTGGTAATATTTCTCCAAGGTGGAGAGATTTTCTCCCCCAGTTGTTGATATGAATGCTAGGATGTGAATTTGTGATTTCTGCAAATCATTTCTAAGAAACACCACTATATGCTTTGTTATATACCATATTTGTTTATTGGTCTATTTCTAATGGGTTAACATTTGCATGCTTGTAAAATCTTTTGTTTCTCCAAAGGAATAAACATTACAAGGAAAAATTTTAATGAATGGTGGCTGGAGCAGCTCAGCTGATCTAATTAAGGGGCCAAGAAGCCCTGAGGTGACCGGGGAAGGGAAGGGCTGCCTCCTGTGCTGGCCACACCCACCCCTTCACTAGAGCTTGTTTTGAGGGGAGGGTGTATATTTAGACCCACCCCAAAAATCAGGCTTGGCCTTATTTTCGGGACATGTCATATTTTTGGGGAAACACGGTAGATAACATAATATAAAAATTCTCCAAGGAGGTATCTACATGGATGAGTCCAATTCATGAGAACAGATTTGTTAAATAGTTGCTAAACCAAAAAAAAAAAATATTTTTTCTGTGCTCTGTCAGAAAAGATGACTTATATTCAAAAGTATTTGCATATCATAGGGGTTTCAATTTAACTTAAGTTGAATTGTTAATTTTAGCCAAACTTTATTTTAAATTTGTGACCTTCTGATCTCGTGATGAGAAAGTCTTCAGTCTTATTTGAAATTTTAGTGATTCAGGACTTCACAAAATTTGAGAACCTCTGTCTAACTTCCATTGTTGTAATTTATTTATTTATTTATTTACCAAAAATTTATATGCTGACCTTCTCCCTAAGGACTCAGGGCGGCGAATACAAGTTAAAAACATACAATAATAAAAAGTAAGGTGATTAAAACCCAGATTAAAACAACAACAATCAAAATAATGAAATCCAAGGATCAGGGTCAACCCATTTGTTGGAACAGCCAAGTCTTTAAGTCCCGATGGATGGAGCGGAGATCAGGCGCTGTCCGAAGTTCGGTGGGTAACTCGTTCCAGAGGACACGATGTAATACCCAATGTAATACCTTATTATTAAATATTTAAATATTTCTCATTTTGAAGTGCTAACATAATGAATTTTGGAGAAATTTCCTTCATAATTTTGATAATACCCGTGACTGGAACCAAATGACACTATTAAAATTTTGCTTAGTTTCTCTACTTAGATTACTTATGAAAAAGCAACTGATTATTGAGTCCAGCCCAAAATGCTGACTTTCCCTTAAAAATGATTTAGGGCCCAAATGTGTGAAGATGTTCCTCTCCTTTCATGTGTTGAGATGACCCAAAGATTTTCTCTGTTCCATTCATGAGGAAAAAAAAAATATTTTTTTTTGCTAGTGCTTCTTTGATTTTGTTTGGAGTGCCCTTTCAAAGGAAATATACTCAATGCCAGTCCTGTATTTTGGGGATAGCATTTTAAAACCATATTTATGCAAGGAATATTTCAAAAAAATATTTCAAAAACTTTTAAAAAGTAATTGTACTTTCAATATTTTAAGTTTCGTAATGTCTTTTTCTCCCCACATGCTTAACTGAGCCAGGATTGGGGATATAACATGTTAGTAGAAGCACTGAAGAAATTAATTAGCCCACATAATTAATATCCATGAAGTTCCATTTACAGATATTTCATTTTTAATGAGCATTCATTCAGTGACTATTCAAAGTTACCACAGCATTAAATGAGGAGATTTGAGGCCAGTTCTCAGAGCTGCAACCATTGCAATGTTCCCGCAATCACATGAACATGATTTTGATGCTTGGCAGCTAGCCAATAATGATGGTCCATCATCCTATAATCACATAATTGTCATCTGCTACTTTCACTGACAACTTGCAACAAATAAACTAAATGGGGAAGCCAGATAAAGTTGCAAATGGAGATCCCATGACATCATATCTAACCACTTCACTAGAATTGCTGGAACTGCCATCATAAGTCAATGCAGCCAGGTGACACCACACTTAGTGACCACATCCCTTAGCAATGGAGTTAGCAATCCCAATTACTGTTGTTCACTAAGGACTACTTGTAGTCCCAGAAGAATATGAAATATTGAGTCAACCTAACTACCCAATCAACCTTGTTATGAAAATACCTAAAGTCAATCAACTGAGTCATTGTGCAGACTCAGTTTTCCAAACAAGGAGATGGAGAGATAGAGGTTTTCTTACTGAGTCTTTACAGAAAAACACACTTTCCAAGTGGTAACAATCCGTGCATTGCTATAACTGCTGTCCTGGTTAATGGAGAAGGGATTAGTTTAATGAAGTTTTCAAGTACGGAACATGGATTAATGTGGCACCAGGGATTTCCTAGAAAAAATGGAGGGTAGACTTCAAGTGGTTTTTTTGAGCAAGACACATGTTCATGTGTTGGAATTACTAGTAAAGATATCTGAATGGGTGATTGGATTATGTATGGGAACAGACCAGGGGTGAAATGCTCCCGGTTCGGACCAGATTGCTGATCTGGTAGTGATGGAGGCAGGTGGTTCGGAGAACTGGTAGAAAAGTCCCTGCCCCCACCCCTATTCCCAGCTGAGCCGCACAATCATCAGAGGCTTTTTTTTTTTAACTTTTAAAAGCATTTTTTCTACAACCTCTTCGGCCGAAAAAATGCTTTTAAAAGTTTTTTTAAAAAGCCTCTGATGATTGTGCGGCTCAGCTGGGATCGTCAGAGGCTTTTAAAAGCATTTTTTAAAAGCCTCTGACGATCCAAGCTGAGTTGCCTGATCGTCAGAGGCATTTAAAAGGGAAAAAAAAGCCTCTGCCGATCAGGCAACTCAGCTGGGATCGTCAGAGCCTTTTGAAAGCATTTTTTTACAACCTCTTCACCGAAGAGGTTGTAGAAAAAATGGTTTTAAAAGTAAACAAAAATAGCCACACCCACCCAGTCAAATTTCCCCCACCAACACCAAGCCACGTCCACAGAACCGGTAGTAACAAATTTTAGATTTCACCACTGGAACAGACCTAATCTATTTAGATGTGATAAAGATGAGATTGATGAATTTTTTCATGTATAACAATTTGTCTAACAAATAATTTGCTGAAATATGTTGCAAAATGGTTGGTGCAAATTCTTTCTTGTGGAATATGCAGTCATTATATTAAAAAATGAAAATAACTAGAAAAAGTTAATCACCAACTTAAAAGTTCGCAGATAGATGCTAGGCTTCTTTGCTTGCTTAGAGGTAAAGTTCTGGAATCAAATCCAAATTGCCACATCTCCCTAAAAATTATGTAACCTTGAATTTAAATCTATCCAACTGAAACGCACAATAAAATATTGCAGTATAGAGAATTCTTAGCTAAGTTCATGTACCCACTCCATTGCCCTATTTCCAAAATTATCTAAATAAAGCAGGGTTTTTTTAAAAAATAAATTTTTCAGCATATTAGATCAGAAGAGGCTTGAGAGCAATATACAGTCTACAATACAATATATTCAAAATAATGTCCTTGGCATTCACTGGCTGCTAAGCAACACCTGTGTAGTCTTCTAATTAGGTCTGCATTCTGAGTTACCCCTGCTTTTATATAGCCAAGGCTGTAAGAATAAATAAATAAATACTTAATCAACTCTATGAAATGATTCCTTGCCATCCATGATCCAGCATCTGTCTTCCCATGATTTTTCTGCTTTCATTTTTGCAGAGATGATGCAAGGTATCTTACAACATAAGACAAAATGGTACTCAACACCCTTGAAAAGGAAGGTGCAGCATATCTAAAAAATAGCCAATTATTTTTGGAACATAAAGAACAAAATTTCCAATAAGAACAACAACAACTGATTAGTTGTTTTCAGCCTTTATAATATGCATAATATTCAAAATCTGCTACCTGGGACAACCACTTCACTGTCTAATGGAAGAGCCTGCTCTGTTCCTCCAGTAGTCAGTTAAAAATATTGTACTTTAGTATCATAGAATACCCTTTCTAAACACTAACTGGTTACTGTGTCCAAGCAACACATATTGCTGTTTTTCTAACCAATGGGAATGTTTTAGAACTCTCTTAGTGTAAAAGCTCATGGACATTAGCTACTTTATAGAGATTTTTTTAAAAATTTGATTTATATGCCGCCCTTCTCCGGACACTCAGGGCGGCTTACAATACGTTAAGCAATAGCCTTCATACTTTTGTATATTTTATACAAAGTCAGCTTATTGCTCCCACAAACTGGGTCCTCATTTAACCTACCTTAGAAAGGATGGAAGGCTGAGTCAACCTTGAGCCTGGTGAGATTCAAACTTATAGTAATTGCAGACAGCTGGTGTTAATCACAATGCTTTTAGTCTGCTGAGCTACCAGGCCCGGTTTGTTGGTTGGGACCTCTGTATTCTCAAAGTAATGACTTTTGACAAGTTTGATTACATCATGCTGTTCTGTCCCCATACCACACACGCACCCCCACAGACGGCCCGGAGTTAATAAGCCACACGACAAAACTCTTTGAAGATAAAGCTGGCAGCAACCCAGTGGCTAGCTGCCAATTCAGACTTTACTCACACAAAACAAAGATTAGACTGCAAGCATTCCGATAAAACAGGCAGAGTTTCAACAATACAAGGATTAATCCAAATGCAGTCCGATAAAGCAGGCAAAGTCCAGTAACGCAGAGATCATGGATTATTTCCAGTTTTTGCACGTCACAAACTGAACCAGCCACCACACCCACATTTATACCCTGTGGGGTGTGGTCCAGTGACTCAGCTAATCTCTGGCATGCCTTCCCCTCTGCTGTGCATGCTTCTCCCTGCGCCTCTGCCGAGGGTCCAGCCAGCACTTAACTTCTTCGTCACTGTCC